CTGTGCGTCACTCTTAGTTAGGCAGTCTTGCGCCCACAAGTAAAGTTCATCACCTGGGCTCTTCTGAAGTCTACCTATGGCCATTAAAACCTGGTTTACATAACCTCTTGCTTGGCCCGCATCCTCTGGGAGGGGCAGGAAATGTCAAATCCTTCAAGTCTTTGATGCGGACGACATCCTCCTCTTGGGATGCGAAACTTTTGGTCTGGTGTGCGCTGGCGGAGTCTGGGAGTGTGCCGTGAGCATCACCTACCGCACTGAAAGCAGCACTTGGCGCGCAAAATGCAGCGCCCCCCTGAGTTGCATCTCCACTGTTGGTGTCTAAACCCACTTCGTTCATTGAGAGACGGGGGCATGACAATTCGTCGTGGGAACCACCGCAAACCCTACACTGGCCAGTGGGTTCGGGTTCATCGGCATCATCATCCTCGTTCTCGGAACTTGATGAGGACTCTGAGCTCGCGTCTGATGCAGCCTTAGGGGTGGTGTCGACCATTCCCGCACTAAAACTTAGGGGGATTATGGGAACCGGGTATGCCTTAGCAGCTGCCCTTGCGGCAGTTGGGGCAGGGCAGGGAGCTGAAGCCATTGGAGGAGGAGCCACGCTTTGTGCAGCGACCAAAGTGCTAAGCTGATGCACCATTGAGGCTAGGGAAGCAATTTGCTGCTTAACATCTGCTATCTCACTTTTCTCATCCTGACTACTGCTCTGCGCGCCAACGGCTGCGCCTTTGGCGGACACAGCACTGTTGCTTGCGGCACCTGCACCTACATCGAATGCGCCAGTAGGGGCTGCGCCCTTTGCGGACGTGGCACTTCCTTTGGCGATCGCTGCTTCGGCACATTGCTCTGAATCGGTAGGGGCAGAACCCTTTGCGAGTCCCGCACTTCCTGCGATGTCCTGTGTTGGGCCGGTAGGGGCAAGGCTCTTTGCGAGTCCCACACTTCCTGCGGCAACATCACGTGGGGTTGCAACATCCTGGAATGTGACATGCAGGTTGGCAGAGGAAGCACCGGGCTGGGCGCCCGAGTCAACACCAGTTGTATGATGAGGACCCACTTGAGGTGCGGCACTATCTAAACCCTGTTGTGAGGATCTATCAAGTCCACTCTGCTGGTTTGCTTGGTCTTGCAATCCACTGGATGAAGCCCCCGTTTGGTTACCCATTGACACATCCTGTCCACCCAAAATGGGGGAGCTCCGGTTATGCGACCCTTTGGGTTGAGGGGTATTAGAATCCGTACCATTATCGGTTTGTGCTTGCGGGGCACTTTGCGGCGAGCGAGTCGGAGGCTGACGGACTTCAAGCAAAAGGGAAACCGTCCTTTCAAGTTCGGCTAACCTAGACGCTTGTTGCAAATCCTTCTCTTGCAGAGCTAGAATGGTGGCATCACGTTCAGCTACGGCACGTTGTGCTTCTTGATAAAGGTATTGGGTCTGAGCTTGGGCCTGGGCCTGTTCAGCATTAGCTCTGTTGCGAACCTCTGCTGCGTACCTTTCAGCTAAAGCCCTAGTCTGACCTACCTCTTCATGGGCCTCGGAAACGACTGTTTGCGCCTGAAGCCTAAGCACCTCGGCCTGTTGCCTGGTTGCCTCCTCTTGCTCCGCAGCGCCAATGGCTTGCTGCCTCGCATTGAGCTCGTGCTCACGTGCATAATTCACGGCCTGTTGAGCTTGGGTTACAAGGTTCATTGCCTGATGCCTAAACAACCCTTCCCTTTGTTGGGCGGCTTCCCGGAGTTCCCCCGCCTCCCTTCGGGCCTGCTCAGCCAGCAGTTGCTGTTGCTGTGCATGTTCAGCGGCCTGAAGCGCGACATCGGAAGCATGGTGGGCACGTTGAACGGCGGCACCCGCAACAAATGCAGCAGCTGGGAGGTTCTGGGTTGGATCGGGCGTTCCAGCCGGCTCTGATGAGGATGGTTCTGAAACGAACATGCGCCTAACAGGGGTTGCATCGGAATCTGGTGCAGGGCTATTAGGGTTATGCCTAACAACAGACATGGCTGGCACCATTGCACCCGCAAGGTCTGGGTCATCATAGTCTGTGCCATGTGAGGATCTAGACCTATCTTCGGATGGGGGTGTAATGCCAGAGGGATTCATGCCTGAGCCGCACGGATGCGATAGCTTTTCCTGCACACGCGAACCAAGTCAGTGCGCCAAAGGCAGCACTCTCCAAGGCCGGTGATTTGTGCCTGGTGGGATTATGAGATGTGCGCTTACGGCTACACTCAAAACAGATTATTGAATGATGCAGCAACACACTCAGTCACACAAGGATTGATATGCCTCACTAATTGATAATGGGGAATCTCCTTTGAACCTAAACTTCTGATTGCAAATTGGATGCAAATGTGCAGGCTCACCAATGCAGTTGTGTGCAATTGGAAATGTGTGACTTCGTGCGTCTTTGCGCCACAGTTCTTCGGGGCGCCAACGGCTGCCCCCTGCACAGGTTGGGAAAAATATCCTAGGTGCGCCAACGGCTGCACCCCTGTCGTGAGCACCAGGTGATTTGCTACCTGCGGACCTCCTCAAGGAGCTCTGCGGCAGTAAGTGCACGGGCAGGCTGGATGGTCGCTCGGTCGGCTTGATCCAACCACTGCTCAATAGCAATCAACGCGTCCAGAGTCCCTTGCACCCCCTGGCTGGGGTACGCCCGGAAAGCGTGCGCGCCTGTAAGTCGCGCCTCACGACAGATTGTGGCGTTGTCGTCCACAAGGATGTGTGCTGCCCAACCGTGCAATAGGTTTGCTTTGCCAGCAACGCCAACCCTGGAGCGCGTGAACTGCGTTGTACCCACGTAGATGCCCTTGTAAGCCAAGTGTACCCTTGCTGTGGCGATCTCCGGTGCCGTAGTTCGTTCGCGCTCGACCCCACAATAGCTGCAAATAATCCAATTGAACGGACCGTGAGCTGTCTGTAGACGAATCAATCCGTCCACGATCTGTGGGTGAAGCCTTCCCCCAGAGCGGATGTTCACGTCGAGCACCCCGTGCCAGTCCAGGACGATGTTGAGCGTCTTCCGGTCCGCAAGGGGTGTCCGAGGTGGGGGATCTGGGATCCCGTGGCTTTCTCGCCTTGGTGGAGGAGGCTTCGGTGGCTCTCGCTTTGGCGGTTGTCGCCAAGGTGGGTCTGGAGCGCCAAAGGCTGCTCCCTGCCCTTTTGGTGGCAACCTCAACGATGCCGGCGGCTGTTTGTACCTGATGTGTGGGCCAGGCCGGCTGTTTGCAGGGACAGAAGCCTTTCTGGCTGGCGGTGCCGCTAAGCGTGGGGGCGAAGAAGATCTTGCTTTGCTCAAAACACGTCCGCGACTGCTTGCCAAAAATGCTGCAACTGTTCCCCGCGCCGCTGGCCGCGTCCCGCACTTTACTGTGGCTTTCGTAGCAGGGGCCGGAGGTGAGGCCGGCACTGTAGGTCTATGAAACGGTGCTTCGTATACCCCACCCACCCGGAATGCTGCTCTGCCTGAAAGCAAATCTTCTGTGTTGTGCGCTGTGTCCCCGTCGGAGTAGTCTGCCAGGTGGTAGACCTCCGCGTTCCCGTAGTTTGGGGTCGAGGAACTAGACCTTTCCCCGTAGGCCTCGGGGCGGAGCCACACGTCCGTTGGCAGCTCGTGAGGATCACTGAACTGCGGTAGACGTGAGCGGGTTCGGCCTGCAAATGCCCGTGGAGCGCCGGAGGGCTGCTCCCTCTGCAGTGTCCACGCGCCGGTCCGGTCGATGCGGACCGTCGGATAGGCCGAGCTCCTTGGCGCCAGCACGATCGGCCTGTCGGTTGGCGAGGTCCTTGATGGCACACTCCTCGATCTGCCACGCGAGGATCGACTGGTCGTCGGGCGAGGAGTTCTGCGGGTTCCCGAAGGCTCCCGACTGCTCGACTCGCCTGCCGCGCCGAGGGCTGCGGCCTCCTGGATCGGTGTCGGAGTTCTTGACCGAGAGCGAGACCTAAGCACGATGGGTACTTGGGAATAAACTGCTCGCAGAACTTGCCTTGACACTGACCGTGGGGAGGTCGTAGATGTCCTTCTCCTCGGAGCTGTACCAGTCACCGCGCCTTGGGCTGCGGTCCTTGCTGTAGGCAAAGCCGGAGCAGACAACCAAGCCTCAGCAGGTGAAGCCTGCTGGGCCACGGAAGGCTGCGCCGCCTGCTGCTGCTGAGGTGGTGTAGATGGAGTCGGAGACGAGGGAGTGGCAGGCACTGGATTTGCACCTGCCGCGCCAGTGGCTGCGGCCAGCGCTGCTCGGTGACGTCCCGGTTCCAGGCCCGAAGGGCAGCAAGCTGCACCTCTGATCCCTGTTCCCACTGCAACTTGGGTGGTGTAAGCCCAAAACGCTGCTGGACCTCGTCGATCACGTCCTCCTGGAGCTCCCACCACACTCGCTTCTTGTTTGCGGCTCCTCCACGGTACCACGTTTGTGGTACTCTTCCTCGACGGCCATGCCCCCCCCCTTATGGGGGAACCGCTGAGGGAGGGCCTAGTTAATCCCGAAAGAAAGCTATACGGCTGATAACCAATCAAAAGAGCAAGAAACCCCAAACGCGCGCCGAAGGCTGCGCCCTGAACAAAAAGAGGTGGATTGACCGTGGTTAATCCCTCAGCGGTTCAGGGGGTTGTCTCTACACTCTAGTTCCGCACTCAGCGCCCTTTTTCAGTGAGCGCTTGAGCCAAACAGCGTTTGCCGTTTGACAAGTCTGTCATGTCATGCAACCCTCAACCTAAACCAAAGTGGCCTCATGCAAACCTCACGCCAGTGAACACACAACTAGGCAAGTTACCATGCCTTTGGGGGCAAAGGGGTCGTTATTTCTTGACTACCTTTGGGGTCATTGCTGGAGGTTAATGTTAACAAACCGATTGGCTAAGGGTGGCAATGCGTAAAGGGAAGCCAAAGAGAAAGCGAAGGAAAACAAAATTGGGGGAAACCCCCGGTTTTGGTCTGGATTCAAAGGGAAACCCATGGGAAGAACATGAAAAGCGCGCTTTGGCTTGAGCTTCTCCAGTTCCGCCAAGCTTACCGACCAGCTGGACGTGCTTCCCAGGTCGCCGGACGCCGACGGGCGCATGTTCACCCCCACCAACTTGGCGCCTACGATGGAGGCCGCCTTTGCGCTGAGATGCTGAGATGCTGGGCTAGGCGGGTCCTAAGAACCTGCACAAAAGGTGAACGCAAGGGTAGAAACACATAGACACACCTGTTTCGCAGCGTGCGGGATCAGAATGGAATTGAACTGATGAGATAGGGGTAGACGCGCAAAGAGTTCAGGGTCCAAAGCTGTTGGCCTTTTGGCCTTGTTGTTCCCACTCAACGAGTCTCCCAAAAACTGCTGGATAAAAGTCGGAGAAAAGAAACACTGGAGCAACTGGCGTTTGTTCTTCTTCTTCTTCTTCTTTTGTTTTTTGGGGGGGGGAACTCAAAACCGCCTGTCGCTCTTTCTTACTTGCTGAAAGGGATGGCACCGAAGACCAAAGGGCCTTCCCAACAATCCCAAACTTGCCCAAGCTGCTTTTAAATTCAAAAAGGCCTTGACGGCAGAACTGTCTGGTTTTTGTCCGTCCCCAAGCCCTCGAATGCCCAGACCAAGGCCATGGGAAAGAAAGGGCACCGTGTGGCAGTGGATTGTCAAGGCAGGTTCCCTCCCAAGAAAGAAGCACGGCAAATGTTGAAGGAAATCATGGGAACCAAGAAAGAACGGAAAGAGCTTTAAAAAAAAACCACAGGTCTGGGCTAAAACGGCGGTTTGGCAAATGGATCCCTGTGAAGCGACTTTGGGCGTCCCCAGAGCCAAGGGGCTGTGTCTTTTGTGTTGGACCATTTTTGGGGTTGGCTTCAAGGGAAACCAAAGGAAACAAACACATATTTTCTTTTGGGATCAAGGGGAGGGGAGGTGGAAGAGGTTCCCCTCGAAAAAAAATACTTTGCTTCGAGCAATCCCTACCCTCCACACTCACGAGCTTACGACCGTTACAACACATTCCTCCGCATCCTAGAGACTTCGACTCCAAATTCCCATCGGCCCTTTTGGACATTAAGCGAAACCAGACTGGCAAGCTGCTCTGGCGGGATACTGGCGAGGTCCACTGACGAATGCTGGCGACGCTCCGGCTCGGCCGGATACTTGGCACGGCAAGGGATCGGGATACTCGGCGGGATCCACTTGCGGGGACACTCGGCGGGATCCACTGAGCTACTCTGGGATACTCAGCGGGATGCTCGGCGGGATCCGCTGGCGGGCTGCTCTGGTGGGATACTCGGCGGGGTCCACGCGCCACTGGATCCGCTACTCTGGGATACTCAACGGGGTACTCGGCGGGATTTACTGGCGGGCTGCTCTGGATATATACTTGGCAGGGTCCACTGGCAAGCCGCTCTGGCGGGATCCACTGGCGAGCAGCTCTGGCGGGATACGCGGCGGGATCAACTGGCGAGCCGCTCTGGCGGGATACTCGGGATCCACTGGCGAGCACAGCTCTGGCGGGATACGCGGCGGGATCCACTGGCGGCGGGATCCACTGGCGAGCCGCTCTGGCGGGATACTCGGGATCCACTGGCGAGCCGCTCTGGCGGGATACTCGGCGTGATCCACTGGCGAGCCGCTCTGGCGGGATACTGGGCGGGATCCACTGGCAAGCACGTCTGGCGGGATACTGGGCGGGATCCACTGTCGATCAGCTCTGGCAGGATACTCGGCGGGATCCACTGGCGAGCTGCTCTGGCGGGATACTCTGCGGGATCCACTGGCGAGCTGCTCTGGCGGGATACTCGGCGGGTTCCACTGGCGAGCTGCTCTGGCGGGATTATGGCGGGGGGGGGCGTGGTGTAGAAGCATCGCAAACAACGCGGATTCCAACATAAAATCTAACAACCCCTTCCTGTCAGGTGGGGAAAAAGCAACACGCACGCGCCTTCATGACAGCATCGAAGCAGGGGGTGAACACCACCACCTCATCCCCAGGATCCGTCCAAGCGAAAAGCGAGGTGAAGATGGCCTCCTGGGCCCCGATGGTGGTCACCACCTCCTGAAATCCATTTGGCTGGTCACAAATAGGCACCCAAAATAAAACCCTGGCAAATGGAAACATAGACAAAAACCTGCGGTCTGGTGGTTTAATTTTGACTCATACCCATTTGTCTCCGCTTGAAACATGCGTCTGCCCTCTTGGCACTTGTGAGGTGTCCTGAATGGTTTTTCCGATCACTTTTGGAGGAAAGACCCCCGGCGGATGGACAAACGCCTGCACCAGTTGAAATGGATGAAATACGAGGCAAGACTGCTGTTTGTGGGAAAAAACATGGGTAACCCAATTACCCGCATTGTTGTTGTGCTTGTTTGTGACTTGTTTTCCTGTTTTTTCGTGGCAAGGTTGCCTTTTTGTGGGGTAAGGAAAGCTGGAGTTCTGAAATTATTGGGCGTCCTTTTTTTGGGGGAGGAGGGGGGCGGGGAATTCAGCCGCTCCTTCATTGGATCCAGGTCCCGGCCAAAGCGGCTGCTGTAGGCCCGCGCAATGGTCTGAACCAAGCCAGGCTCTCCGCCCGGGCGCGTGTACTGGTTCCCTAAGCCTTGGAATAGGCAACAGGCCTAACCCCCCTCCCCCCCGCCCAACCCCCTAGTTTCACCAAAATAAGACTCCTGTATTGTTTGGAGAGCGGCTTGGGGATGACGATTGCTTGGTTAGTCGTCCCCGCATCCGGCTGCGTTGCACCCGGAAGGGTCAAGTCTGATTGTGAAATGACTTCTCCGAAGCTTCCGTGGAACAACTTGCAACCAAACGACTTGAAAGTAAAAGAGATCTTTTTGGGCCATGCATCCCATGAAAACTCTGCGACGATTGAACGGAAAAGCCTGAGGACTGATCTTGCAAAGGGCGAAATGTCAGTCCTCGTAGGGTTGCATGTCACTTGTCATGGTGCATGTGGAGCATGTGCACACGCCGGCTGGTTGCAAATTCTTGTTGTGGGCGGGGCTTTGTGTGTGTGTGTGTGTGTCTGTGTCTGTGTCTGTGTCTGTGTCTGTGTGTTTGTGTCTGTGTCTGTGTCTGTGTGTCTTGTGTTTTTTTGTTTGCTTGTTTGTGTGTTTGTTTGTGTGTGACTTTTGTGTGTTTGTGTGTGTGTGTGTTTGTGTTTGTGTTTGTGTTTGTGTTTGTGTTTGTGTTTGGGTGTGCGTGTGCGTGTGCGTGTGCGTGTGCGTGTGCGTGTGCGTGTGCGTGTGCGTGTGCGTGTGCGTGTGCGTGTGCGTGTGCGTGTGCTGTGCGTGTGCTGCGCGTGCGCGTGCGCGTGCGCGTGCGCGTGCGCGTGCGCGTG